CAGACTGGTCTTGAACTCACAGCGATCCTCTTGCCTCAGCCTCCAGAGTGCCCAAATTACAGGAGTGCACCACCGTGCACGGCTTATAGTAATTCATTATTTACTCACTTCATATTTACCTTTAAAACCCAAGTTAAGGCAGACAGCATCAAGCATTTTATAACAGACAGTCAGTGATCTGAAATTCATAGTAACCAATAATGGTGACTGGCCAATCTCTGAATTTCAAAACAGAGTTCTGTAACATAGGATAAAACACCTGGAGATGGTCAGGAGGACGTGTCTGAGAGTATGCCAAGTACAAGGTTCTCGTTTTGACCCTGATAACAACTAAGTGAGGATGGGCACATCATTCAGCTCTCTTGAGGTTGAGTTTGTGAGTCGGGGACAGATTATCTTTAAGACCCTTTCAGGACTAAAATCTTCTGCATTTAGGATTTTTCCCTGTCAATAAGGGAAGAAGAGAGAAAGACACAAAAACATTTGAACAGAAATGTCATTTGGTTTTAAATAAAATTCAAAATGAAAAGTAGAGGTCTACTAGTAGTAAAAAATTTTTACTACTAGTAAAAAAAAAGTTAGACTCCAAGATTTATTTTTATGGGATTAAGCAGCAAATTCTTCATATTTGTTAAATAGGTATGTGATTCTTGTTATTTTTCATCTGTTTAAAAGAAAAGAGGGCTGGAGATGTAGCTCAGTGGTTCCAGCGCCTGCCTCCCAAGGGCAAGGATCCAAGTTCGATCCCTGGTACCAAGAAAAAAAAAAAAAACCAGAAAAGATAATTTTGTTGTTATAATGGGAAAATGGAAATGATTAGCATCATTTGTAGAAAATAAATTCTTAAGTAAAATCTTGGGTCAGATATAAATGAAAAGTAAAATAAATATACAACATCATAATGATGAGTAAGGACTACTCATTTTGAAATGGCAGTAGCTGCCTAATTAAAAGAATTGAAAGTTGAAGCCATTTGAGGGTAGTATTGAAAACAATACAGAGAAAATACTAGTCCATTTGAATGAATGAGTGAGTGAGCAAAAGAAAATGGAAGAAATTTGAGAACTAATGATTTGGCCAATGATGTGTCCTAATAATTACATACAAGTCTCAGTGACAAATTACTAAGCTCAAAATCTCAGGCTAATTGTAAACAATGACAATTATATCATCTAATTTATGTCTCATTTTTAAAAGAGTAATGGCAAAAATAATCAACATAGGAATAGGGATAGTGTAATTTAGAAAATAAACTTTAAAAATGCAAGTTTTGACAAGAAAGTACTAAAAAGCAATTCCATTTATACCATGATGTAAAAATTATAGGTTTACTTATTTTCAAATATCCTGTATTGCCGGGAATGATCAAAATGACTGATATAAGGATGTCAATCATTACTATAGGTTACAATCTCAGAGATACAGGATTTAGCAGATTCCTATTTATCAAGAACTGAGTGTGTGGTGGCTGTATATCAAAATGATTTTTGTGCCCACTGGTTAATTAATATCTTGGGCAAATTACTTAATTTTCCCAAATAGCAGTTTGCTCATCAGTAAAATCATAATAAAGTACCTAGACCCTTAAGTGAGACAACATATACATAAGAACAGTCAGATAAGTATTTTAAAGAATCAGGTACCTGAAGCAACTAAGCATATTCAAAATCACTGAACCAAAATAAAATACGTAAATTCCTATATGTTACAAATGTTGTGCAGAAAATGGAACTACTAAATGGAATTCATAATATGCTATTCTAATTAGCACAGCACAACATAACACCCTTGACTCCCACATGTTGAGGGTTTTTATAACAATTTTATGTAAGTATGGAGTTAATCACAGTCTTTTTGTTTCTCCTTGGCTTAAAAGCCACAGAATTACAGTATAGAACAGGTTGGCACACCAAGGCCAAAGTACAAAATACACACTGAAGATTAAACACAGATCTTATTAGTTTTAATTAATTGGCTAGGATACTGTGCTAAAAGTGGCATATATCTTTTTGACCTCGATCTCTTCCAGAAATAAATTAAAGTCCAAAACTTCAAAAGTAGATTCAGTCAGGTTTCCGAAGAAAACTTTTATTTTTATTTTTGTAATCTTACTTGAAAAGAGAAGTATTTATCAGACCCAATAGAATTGTGACTGGCTTATACCATTATGTCTACCTTATGTATTTTTTTAATTAGGAACTAATCACATATATTATATAAAATATAGGAATAGCAAATACAGTAATACACTGAGTCTGAATCCTCCCATGTAAACTTAATGGTAAAGAAAATGTATAGTCTGAAAAAGTAATAATAAAGAGAGACAGTAATTTTCTTGGAGCATTTGAAAGTATCATGTTAACCAATTCATTTCCCTGGACACACTGCAAGGAGGAAGATTTTAACATAACAGAAAAAGAATTACAAATTTATCCAGAATTGAAACAGGCTCATAATTTTCTGGAGTAAACTGCCAAACTGAGAGAATCATAAAAATCTTTTCATGTTCTCATCCAGTGAACTTTAGAAACTTTTTCCAAGTAAATGATTTTGAGATGCACTCAAAAATGTACATAAAAGAATGATAATATGGTTTATAATATTAGGAGGAAAAAATGATGGCAACTTAGATATTATTTAGTCATGAATATCTTTCAACTAATTACTTAGGACAATGAGAAAATGATTAGGGTAAAATATTAGAAAAAAAGGTATACAGTGAATACTACCAATTTTGTCCTTCTCCCAAGAAAATATCTGTATGTATAAAAATCTAGAAAAGCAATTATACCAGTATTTGGAAGAAATTACAGCATAATTTAACAGTTGCTTTTGTCTATACATATCGGTAATGCAGCTAGTTTTAGTTCCAAATTTTAATTCAGAGCACAAATTACTTTAATCAATCGGTGAATAATCATCTATTAGAATTATGAATCATTCGACTCCCAAGGTCCCTTTTAATTCAAAGAATCTAGAACTCTAAAAATACTTTCCAAAACTAATTTAAAAATCAGTAAGTCTTTGCCAACGCCAGGAAATAAATTTTAAAGTTAAAATTTTAAAGAAAGACTAGCAGCCAAGAACGGCATCAATTTCAGAAAGAACATCAATATCCTCTGGTTAGTAGCTCTTTTCTTAGATAGAAAAGTGGGCAGAGGACCTAAAGGAACTATACCAAACAAAACAAACAAGAATGAGTCTGCAACTGCAAAAGAAGAGGAAGAGGAAGAAGAGAAAGACAAGGAAGAAAAAAAGGAGAAACATAGAAATTTTCTTTGTTTTTTTCAAAAGAGCCACTGCTTAGATGGATGATATAATCTGTATGTAGTAAATGACTACAACCATGCACATCATTTAACATTTTTATATCTGGTAGGACTACAAACTGGGGTGTAAGGGGTATTAAGAAAAAAATTATTTTAAAAAATCTGATTATATTAATTTGATTAGTATCAGAATTAAATGATCTGTGATAAGTAAACTACAATCTCAACTTTATCTAAAAGACAGTAAACCATGAAAACACAAAGCTAATTATCAATCATTAGCTCAGATTCACAAAAATGTCAAACATGTACTACCATGATGTATGTCAAATACTTAAGTGAAACGAGACAGTTTCATGAAGTTATATCATAGGTTAGAATTTTACAATTCAAAATTAAGAGGAAAAACTCCCTTGTGATGACTGAAGACAGCCATTTGTTACAAAAGGAAGAAATCAGAGTGACAGGTACTTTTTATTAGAGATTAAGACTATATAATGGAAAACATCATATAATAGGATACCATAACTAATATTTGGACTAGAACATAATCCAATTTATAAAACAAATTAAAAATTTGAAGTATAAATTACTCAAAATATCTAGAGAAGTAACATTTTATTTTATCATTTTTGTTCATTTATTTGTGTACATATACACCTTACCAGTTTTCTCGATAGTTATATGATACATAAGAGTTTTTAAAAGTTAAAACGAGATACTTAGGATAGTTTCTCTATATTTAGAGTATCATAAGACAGGAAAAAATGTTTGGTTGTACTGAAAGATCAGTGGAACAAAAGTCCTTATTGAATCTGGTCAAAATGTATAGCTTTTTTTTTTTCTTTTCTTTTATTGCTTTTTAATGAAAGAACTATAGACAAAAAAATAGAGGGGAAAAAAACCACCCAGAAATCTTCAAGACCATGATTTTCCCACCCGTTATCATAAACAAGGAAAGATCTGTTTTTCTAAAAATACTGTAACTAAAATACAAACTTACTTTTTAAAAAAGTAAGATTACTGTCCTTTTAGCATTAAATATTTATACTTATTCTTATAGATTCATCCAAAAGAAAGATCCAGCAAAATTAACACCTGAAATGTATGCATGGCTTTCAAATGAACATATAAAAATACCATAAAAATTTTAAAGATAAACAATATGCTAGGAGTTGTTTAAAGAACATATTATATGCTGTATAACTGCATAAAAACTGCTTTGTCCTATTCATTCTTATCTCATCCAGAAACCATTTTTGAGGCAATTTTACTTGACCACCACCCATTTTCTATTATGACAAATGATTCAGTAAACAGTATCTTCACCATTTTTTAAATGTTGGGGTATTTAAGACTTCCTACCTACATGTATGTGTAAATATATTCAGCATTTTCTAGATGTAACTATAGCATCGGAAAATTAAAAGCCAAACTGTAAAATAAACTCTCTTTAAAAAAAAAAACTCACACAAAAAAAACTCCCTTTAAGTTTTCCTTTCAATAAATATTCTCACAAAAACACTAATTCACATGTTCTTACTGAAAAAAGTAATATATAATATTTTAAACATTTAAAAAATATAGCATATTATGTGCACTGCAATAGCCTCTTGAGATCTGCAATCATGCTACAGTCATGAATAAACATATTCCTTTGAAGTTCTAAATACATATGGCCAAGTCAAGGGCATGGAGCATGCACATCAGACTGAAAAGGATTTACATTACCTCCAACCTTAGGGCCACCTGCTGAACCAGGCTTCCTTACACTGTTGATAGGATTTCCGGATGTTTTAGGTGCAGGAACCTTGAAAGCTGAAGCAGCTGATGATGGCCTATTTCCATCCACTGATTCCTCATCATCAAAGCTTTTATCTGCACAAAGCATTAGAAAAATGTATTTAAGGAAGCTAAGCTTCACTCCATTTTCCTTAAGACTAAAAATCTAAAGGCATATATAAAATCATTCCTTTGATATAAAACATATAATATAGAATAAAGGTGCTCTGAAAAAACATTTACATTGGTTAACACTATATAAAACAATCCAGTGCAATTTAAAATAAATATAATATTATCTTATTTCCTACCTAAATGTATTGTCAAAACACAAAACCAAACATAACTCTAAGAGCAGTAAAAGGCATTTTTCAGTTTTCTACTACTCATGTAAGCATTTCTGCCAGCTCCTCCCATAGTGCATCTTCCAGCACGCCCTGCCTTATTCCTTATACCCAGATTCTGCAACTTACAATCACAGATCCGTTTGCAAATCAGACGCCTCATTCCTCTGAAAGCTCTTAATTTCCCTCACCCTAGGATGCTCCCAATAGTTCACATGGCCAAATACAGTATATTCAATACTAATTAAAGATTCTATCAAAAATAGATAGAAACAACCACAGAACCACCACTGAGGTTTGTGCCGGCATTTTTCTTTCTCTTCCCTGCCCTAGGTGCTGTTACAGCCAATCAGCTACAAGGTGACATCATCTTATGGCAGTTATTGCCAGATGAAAGGTAAAAATTCTCCATGCATCTAAAAAATTTGCTGTACATCTACAATCTTTATTCCTTAACAAAATTGTAAAGGCATTTAATGCCAAGGGTTTATAAATCTAAATATTTTTCTTAATTGATATAAAATTTCTATAAATAGAAAATAAGATTTTATGCAATATTCACTTTGCTGGGGTACTTATTATTGCATCAGCAAAGCATGGAAGATCACAGTGCTCATTACTGCACATAATTAACTCTGTAATCTCAGAATTTGCTATTTATTTAGACTACAGAAGCAAAACTGAACAATTTGTTTTCATAAACGATTCTATAACACTCTACAAGGCTCTTTTTACAATGTGAATGATCACACTAGTACCTCCTCCTTATTATGAAAATGAAACACCCTAGCCTCTTCTAAAAAAAAAAAAAAATCACAAGATATACGCAGTTTACTCTTCTGAGAAAATGGTTTTCTCTAGGACCCTGCACAGACCAACCAGGACAAACAAGATGGGCGAGGCAGAGAAGCAGCTTTACACAAGCTTCAGATCAATATGCCAGAATCATCTTCCTTTCAGTCTGTTCTCACCTGTACAAATACCAAGTCACCAGAATAAAATCACCCATACGAAGGGATGCTCTAAGTACTATTATTAAATACATTTTAAAGAAATATTCTAAGCAAGTTTTAAGACTGTTTTATGTATTGGGGGTTGAGGGGTGGGTTAAAAGATACTTAAAAATCATATAGGAAACAATATCACCTAGTTTAAAAACATTCTTAGCATAACACCATCCTGGATAAATTAATACTTAAAATCTATGCTTTATACACAGACTACACTATTTAAAACACTACTACAATACCAAATACTTTTTTGCTACCATCATGCAAAATATGCAGCCAAGAGAGACGAAAATCTACAGAAAGGCACTAAACCAGAGGAGCTCAAAGTTCCCATGGAAACAGTGTTCTGTTCCTATATACACACAAGAACTGCAAAGAGTAAATGTCCCCTGCCATTTAAAAAAAAATTAACTCTTAACAGTCTCAAATTGCTAAGTTAATTTTTAATTTTTTATACAAATACAGCAAAGTATACAAATCCTAAATATGCAACACAATGACTTTACACAAAATGAACATGCCAGTGTAATGAGCATCCAGATCAATAAATTATTACCTATATCCTGTACACACCCTCAAGACCATTAAAAGTCACTACTTTCAAACAAAGCTATTTTTGAATTCTAACACTTAGTTGGTTTTGTCCATTTCTGAACGTAATATATAAAAGGAATCATACAATATACACACTGGTGTCTAGCTTCTTTCCATTAGATACTGGAAGATGGTATCTGGAAGATTCATTTTCATTGCTTTGAGTTTTCTAGTATATGAATGTACCACAACTTATTAATGTCCATTCCAGTACTGACAGGCATTTGGGCTGTTTCCAATTTGAGCTTTTGGGTTTTTTTTAAGTGATCCTAGGGCTATGCAAACAAAGTTAAAAGGTTCTGAGGAATTTAGCATTACCAGGGAAATAGTAAACATTATGGGTTGAACACCCCTATTCAAAAATCTAAAATTCATACTTCTGGTCCCAAACCTTTCAGATAAGGGATATTCAGTGCTGTATGTAATTTATCTTAGTTTATAATAAATCAAACATGCATAATGTAATATGCAGAGCAGCATTTCTAAAATGTGATCCCCAGAGTAGTAGCTGAGTTATCACCAGTAATGTGTTAGAAATGTAAATTCTTTGGTCCCAAAACAAACCCATAATCCTACTGAATCAGAGATTTAGGGATTCAGCCCAGTACTTTAAGAAGCCTTCTTAATGACCTTGATGTATGATCAAATTAAGGACCACTTTTCTATAGCAAAGGCTGCCTTCTCTATAAAGGGTCACAAAGCAAATATTTTAGATTTTGCAATTCATGTACATAAGTCTTTCTATGCAACTACTCATTTATGACATTATAGCACCAAAGCAATCATCTGTGATATGTAAACAAACAGGCGTGGCTGTATTTCAATAAAATCTTATGTACAAAAACAAAGAGGGCAGCTGGATTTGGTCTGCAAACAACAGTTTGCCAATTGTTGCTCTGAGGCAACCACTAAAAGAAGGGTAAATATACATACATCAACAAACTAATAGACAAAAAATAAAAATAATAAAAACATTTGATTAACTGAAAAAATGTGGAAGAGAGACAGATAAAAACAAAAGATAAAATGGTAATGATAAAACCAAACATACCAGTAAGTACCTTAAATGTAAATAATCTAAACAGTCCAAGTAAAAGACCATGACTATTTTTAAGTGTTTTTTTTGTTTTTTGTTTTTTTTTTTTTGGTACTGGGGATTGGACTCGGGTCCTTGCGCTTGCAAGGCAGTCCACTGAACTGCTGAGCTAAATCCCCAGCCCCCAAGACTATTTTTAAATAGATTACTTACATGAGATACACTTTACATGAGATACACTTCTATGGCTACATAAACACTAAAAGTAAAATTATGAAGACAGACCATGACAAATACCAATCAAGAGAAAGCTGGCACAGCTATATTAATTTCAAACTAGGCAGCTTAAAGAAGCATTACTAGAGTCATTTAGAAAAGATACAGGGGTGAATCCAATGGGGAAAACATCAGAATCTTAAATATTTATGCTCTCAGCAACAAAGTTTCAAATATATAAAACAAAAATTGAAGAAAATTTTAAAGGAAAAATAAATCTCAAAAAAAATTGTAAAAAAATAAGGTTATATATTCTTTTATTACAAATTAAAGGAAATTTTTTAAAAATTCATCATCATAGCTCTAAAATTAAAAATCTGCTTTATGCATAGAGATCTTGAATATTCTAGGCTTAAATTTTTTTCTCACCTATAAAACAGCAAAACAAATCCCACTTATTTTCCTTCTAGCAGCTATCATTTTGTGAAATAATAAATGCTGATTTTTAAAACACTGATTTTTGAGAGCTTCTTAAGAGCACAAACTCTGTCTTGAATATACTACAACATCATTGCCTAGAACAACTGGGAACTCTCATAGACAACTAAAATAAAATCTCCCTGCTTCTGACCTTTGTCCCTGTGCATTTGTTCTTGACACAACATCCTGAGTTGAACAAAGTCACATCACTGCTTATAACTCTTCCATGACTCTGTAACAAGGCCTATGGAGATTCTAAGGCCTTACACATTATATAGGTGTTCTTAACCTCATGTCCTACTTGCTCTCTCTTTTTCTCCAATCCAATCCCACTAGCCTTCTTACTGTGAATCATGTAAGGCCCTTTGCACTTGTTTGTTCTACCTAGAATGCTCTCTCCATACGGGCTCTACCCACCCACGCAGTGTTCACTCACCATCTTCATGTCTTTATTCATCTGTCAGCTTTCTCATGAAGCTTTGTTTTGTGGTCTTTTGGGGGGGGGTACCAGGGCTTGAACTCGGATCTTTGAGCTTGCAAGGCAAGGTGGTGGAGCCACTAAGCTAAATCCCCAGCCCTTGAAGCTTTCTTTGAATGCTAACATTACAAACATTCTAACACACTGACACTCTGATCTACCCCTATTTTCCTCTTATGTTTATCTCTAGCATTTACCACCTACATATTTCATTCATGCTGCTCACCTACCTCTTCCCCCTGAAAGATCTGTTCTGTGAGAGTGGGACATATGTCTATTTTGTCCATTACTATATCATCTACATGTGGAACATTTCCTATATTAGCAACATTTCATTGAAGGAAGACTTTTGGTAAAAGCATTATTAAGTTATTTCAAGCAATATTTCTGATGCAAGCAATATACTATATACACTGAGGGGGGAAAACACATAATATAGAAAATCTTAAAAATAATAAATATTTGACAAGATAGTAAGAAATTCAAGGATTAAACCAATACATGAAAACTTCTATTCTGGCTGGGTGTGGTGTAGTGCATGCCTATAATACCAGCACTCAGGAGGCTGAGGAGAATTGCCCCGAGTTCGAGGCCAGCCTGGGCTACACAGTAAATTCAGGGCCAGCCTGGACTACAAAGGGAGACCCTGTCTCAAAAAAACCAAAAGAACAAAAAACTATTCTGAAGGTTTTATGAGGTGAAAGGAACAGAAATCAAAACCCAAATAAGATGCAGAGTCAAAAGCTGATACACCAAATGGCATTTTCAAAATTAATGTAGACCATAAGTAAGCCCTTATTCTCTTATTGTTTATTCCTCTCAAAATTTTCAACAGAGAACAGGGAAGTGAATCAAATGGAGCATTTCATTAAAGTCAAGTTCTTGGGAAGTCCAGACACTTCAGCCCTTTAACTTTGTAGGCTCAGACTGGTAGAACT